GTAGCAGGAATTTTAGATAGAATTCTCCCCTAATGTTTTCAGTAGATGATTTAAGCGCCTGCTAAATGGATAATTCAATTTTTCTTTAGTTGTTCTTACTAGCGATATAATACATCTTATAATACACACAGTAAAAATGGTTATCGCGTGGTTGGGGATGAAAAAACATGAGAATTGGCAAAGTGGTGATATTTTGCACAACAGTGCCCACCACCCACTATATTTAGGATATGGTGGGTTGGGCCGCGAGTTAAAAAAAAACAGAAAACCAATATCCCTAGCCCTGCAAAAAATTCACACCAATGTTGTCAATTTTCCTTCTCTCGCGAACCTCCGGGTGTGGGGGAGTGTTCTTCCTCCAGCTTCCTCTTATCACCCTGGTTGGCAATGGCAAATATACAATGCGCAATCCACTTTTTATACGCATGGCACCCTTGTTTTCCTCTATATTCTTGGATTTTGACTTTTGAACAACTGTTAATTCTAATAGAATGGTCAAATCTCGAGTTGGCGTTTTAGGACCGGGTACATCAATCAGATATGGAGAGGATGGTCGTAACAAAACCGGAAATTGGGAGGGATGGACTGGGAATCCCTCTCTCCTCATCCCCTCATCCGGTTCATGAAGACGTGTACTTGACCATTTGACAATGACTTCTGAGGAGGCAATCATATCATCAGAGGAGCATCTTCCATACCAATTTGCCAGAAAAACATCACGCACATGTTCTGCTGCGCTTTCTGAAAGCCCAGCGTTGATTATTAGGACCGCACAGTTTACCGCAGCTATGATACATCGGTTAATAATTGTGGATGCCATCAGCTATCATAATCATGGAAACCCTTGAAACAGGAGGCCCGTTAATGACAGATCTAAAATGCTACTGGAAGGAGGGGTTGGGAAATAGTCCCTTGTAAGCGCCCTTCACCGTCACCATCGGTGGATGCTGGCTCTGTGGTATCTGTAACTCCTTGTATATTTGGGCCTGTCCAAACACCTATCTCTGATATACACTTGCTACCATAGGCGCTAGAGCTGCTGCTCGGGTCCAGTGATGGAAAAACTCACCGACGACTAAATAGAGAGAGGCGTCACGTCACCCCACT